AGAGCTGAAATCATGCCCTCCTTGGCAGGCAGCTTCACCAACATGTGCTGTGGGGGGAGTGGATTCTGCTGGTCATGGGCGTGGTGCTGACACCCGCATGGTGGCTCCTGCAGTCCCTGATAAGCTGACCCGCCTCTATGGTCAGGTAGTTCCACAGGCCTTTGCTGCAGAGAGGGTCCTCACTCAGCTGCAGACGGGATGGTGGCCACTTTGGCACGTGGGGTCACGTCAGTGGCTTGGCCACCTGGCGCTTCCTGGAGAGCAGCCGCTGGCCTTTACCTTAGATGTTCACATCCAGAAGGGCTCCAGAGTTTGCGGTGAAAACTCCCAGCCCTGTTGAAGACTCCTTAGTTCAGCTTGGCACAGAACCTCAGAAAACAGTAGTTCTGCTCCGGGTTCTTCCTTCAGAACTGATTCCAGTGCAGGGAAGGGAGCAGAGGGGCGTGAGGTCAGCTGAAGCCTCGTGTGCCTCCCACTTGAGCTGAGGGCCATCTCTCTCCTGGGCTTTTCCCTGTTGCTTCCCTAGTGCTATCTGGCCTTGCCGAGGCTGGCCCCAGCTCGTTTCCTGGACTTCCTTGGGCCCCGCGCTTGACTCCTGTTCGTTGAATGCCATTAGGGTCCGGTCATCGCTGGCTTCACTCTCCTTCAGCACCTTGTAGATGTCCACACGTGCTTCCACCCTCGCACCCCGCACGTGGTGCAGCATTACCCTGGCCAGCCAATTTTTTGGTCAGACACTGTTTATCAGGCCATCATAGGAGATTCCATAGAAAGGCCACAGGTCGAAGAGGCTATTACTCCCAAACATGCAGGGGCCGTGGCTCTACACCCCTCCTGTGATATTGTTAATATCCTAGGGAAGAGAGGATGATACTACACCCAATATCGCAGGGGGTGTACCCCCACCCAGTGATACTGTTCTTAATGTACTCCACCCCCCACCACCAGGGATATTGTTCTTAATATCCAGGGGAAGACAGGATAACATTATGCCCAATATTGCAGGGCAGTGTACACACCCTCTGTGATGTTGTTCCTCCTATCCAAAGGTAGAGACGATGATATTACTGGCCATATCGCAGGGAGTGTACACCCTTCTGTGATATTGTTTTTGATATTCAGTGGGGGAGAGGATAACATTAATCCCAATATCACAGGTGTACAGATGCCTGTGATGTAGTTCCTACTGTACAGGAGAAAGAGAAGAATATTGCTCTCAGTATCGCAGGGGGTGTAACCACACTGCCCCCCGAATATTGTTCCTAATATGCAGCGGGGTGGAGGCTGATAGTACTCCCAATATCCCAGAAGGTATACACACACCTGTGATAGAGTTCCTAATATCCAGCGGGAAAGAGGCTGATTTTACTTTCGATACTGCAGTGGGTGTACACCGCCCCCAACCCTGGGGTATCGTTCCTAATATCCAGGCGGGAAGGAGATGACACGGCTGACAATATCGAAGGGGGTGGACAATTCTTCTGTGATATGGTTCCTCTTATCCAGGGGGTGAGTGGACGATATTACTCCCAATAAAGTAGGAACCTTACAGCCACCCTGGGATTTTGTCCTTAATATCCACAGGGGAGAGGTGATATTACTACCAATATTGCAAGGGGTGTACACCCCTCCTGTGATACTGTTTCTTATATCCAGGAAAGGAGAAGATGGCGTTACTACCAATATTGAAGAGGTGTACAACCCCCATGGGATATTGTTCTAAAGATACAGGTTGAAAGAGGTTGAGATTCCATACAATATAACAAGGGGTGTACACCCCGCCTGTGATATGAATCGTAAAACCTAGAAGAGAGAATGACATTGCTTCCAAAAACACGGTGTGTACACCCAACCTGTGATATTGTTCCTGTCATCTAAAAGAGATGATGATGCTACTCCCACTACCAGAGAAGGTACACAACCCCCTGTGATATTGTTCTTCATAACTCGTGGGCGAGAGCATATTACTTCCAGTATGACAGTGGCTTGACAGCCAGTCTGTGACATTGGTTCTGCACACCAACTCCGTGCCCCTCGTTTCCCATGCGTTCTCTCCTCACTATTGGAACCTCGGGGGAGGCTTTGTCTTTGGTTATAGATGAAGAGATGAAGGGTCTGAGAGGTTAAGTAAGTTACTGGAAAGGGGTCCCGATCCAGACCCCAAGAGAGGGTTTTTGGATCTCACAGAAGAAAGAATTTGGGGCGAGTTCATAAAGTGAAAGCAAGTTTATTAGGAAAGAAAAGAATTAAAAGAATGGCTACTCTGGCTGGGCGCAGTGGCTGACTCCTGTAATCCCGTAACTTTGGGATGCCGAGGCAGGTGGATCATCTGAGGTGAGAACTTCGAGACCAGCCTGGTCCAACATGGCAAAACCCTGTCTCCACTAAAATACAAAAGATTAGCTGGGTGTGGTGGCAGGTGCCTGTAGTCCCAGCTACTAGGAAGACTGAGGCAGGAGAATCGCTTGAACCCTGGAGGCGGAGGTTGTAGTGAGCCAAGATCACGCCACTGTATTCCAGTCTGGGCAACAGAGACGAGACTCCATCTCAAAAAAAAAAAAAAAAAAAAAAAAGAATGGCTGCTCCATAGGCAGAGTGGCCCCAAAGGCTGCTGGTTGCCCATTTTCATGGTTATTTCTTGATCATACGCTAAACAAGGGTTGGACTATTCATGAGTGTTCCAGGAAAGGGGTGGGCAATTCCCAGAACTGAGAGTTTGTCCTCCCTTTTGAGACCATGTAGGGTAACCTCCAGATGTTGCTATGGCATCTGTAAACTGTCATGGCGCTGGTGGGAATGTCTTTTAGCAGCTCATGCATTATAATTAACACATAATGAGCTGTGAGGACAATCAGAGGTCACTCTCGTGGTCATCTTGGGTTTGGTGGGCTTTGGCTGGCTTCTGTACTGCAACCTGCTTTATCAGCAAGGTCTTTATGACCTGTATCTTGTGCCGACCTCCTATATCATCCTGTGACTAAGAATGCCTAGCCTCCTGGAAATGCGGCCCAGCAGGTCTCAGCCTCCCTTTACCCAGTCCCCATTCAAGATGGAGTTGCTCTGGTTCACGTGCTCTGACAAGTTGGCCTGGGTTGAATGTTCTCTAGTGTGTGGTTGTTGGAGCTGTTCCTAGGAGTAAGAAGTATTGTCAGTAGGAAACAGGCCTCTATTAGCCCTGGGGCTGGCACTCTGCCCCAGTAGGTCGGCCTCATGTTAGTGGTGACCAAACTGGGGCTCAGAGAAATCAACTCCCTCACCCCGCACCCCCAGACTGTGAGTGGTGGGCTGGGGTTTGAATGTGGGGCTTGAAGACCCATCATCTCCTCTGGTCCCCCAGTCTCTGCTGCCCAAGAGGAACAGGATCCCAGGATCCAGGCCCCTCATGGCACCAGCCAGGGTGGGTGGAGATGGGGAGGAACAGTTTCAAAGTCCCCCGGACTCTGTTGTTGCTGAGAGCAATCCGGACCTGCGGACCCCACCCTGAGAAGAATGGCTGTAGGCCCAGCGGGCAGGAGGTCTGTGTCCTCAGTAAACGTGACGGCGCTTCCCGCTGCTCCAGCCAGGCCGAGCCGTCTTCATGTTTCCAATCAGGCGGCCTCCAATTCCCAAGCTCAACCCACAGAGACAGCGATCTGGGGTCAACATGAGGTTTGTCAGCAGCTCTGACCCGCTGCTTCCCGTCAGCCCCGCGGCCGGCTCTGGAAAGCTCTCTGCTGCCCTCTGGTGGGGAGGCTCGGGGCAGGGCTCTGGCTGCAAGCATGGGGCTCCCCTGTGGCGCTCCCAGAACCTCCAGGCTCTGTCACCTCTGCTGGGTGGAAAACCAACCCAGGACTGAAGCAGCAGATGGGTGCCTGATTCCTTCTCAGAGCTCTGCCCACTGGCAAGTCTCTCCGGGCCTCAGTTTCCCCTTCCATTAAACGAGGGGCTTGGGGAATACCAAGGAGGGGTAACGGCTTAGTGAGGATGGGAGGTTTCTTCTGGGGAGATGAAAACATTTTGAAACTAGATGGCGGGAGTGGTTGCACAGGACTGTGAATGCACAAATGCCACCACATGATTTGCGTTGAAATAGTTAATCACATGCGATGTGAATGTCACCTCATTTAAAGAGTTTAAAAGAGGGGCCTGGGAGAGTGCAGTGGATGTGAGAATCACGTGAAACACTCACAGTCTCTGAACCTCGGTTTCCTTGCTGTAAACTGGCAAAGAGACCGTGTGAGCCGTGTTCCCTGGGGCCAAGAGAGTCCAAGAAGGAAAACCTGGGACTCCTGGGACTGGGATGAGGGCCGGGGGCCGGAAGAGGAGGGGTATGTGGGGGACGACTTGGGGGGCAGCCCAGATAAGGCTTTCAACACTAGACAGCAGCGTCTACACAGGCAGTCTGTGTAGATCACTGCATCTCACTTCCCGCAGGGCTGACCAGTGGCCAAAGGTGGGACTGGGAGGCTCCGCCCAGCCAAGTCTGGGAGCAGAGGACACTGAATGAGGGATCCCTGGGGCCACCCTCACTGGCCTGTCGCTCTCCTGACACCACAAGAGGATCAGGAGCTGACCTTGGGTCCTAATGGGGGACACCTTCCTGGCAGCAGGCTGGCAGGGTGGTGTGTTGGTCAGTGTACTGGGCTCTGTGTCTCCGCCCCTACCTGCTGTGTGACGGTGGGCCAGACACTTAACCTCTCTGTGCCTCTGTTTCTTCAATGGTGAACAGGGGCACTAGCAGCCCCCACATCCGGGCACAGTGGCCTGAAGGTTAAAGGCAAGGGTGGCATGAGACCTACAGCAAAAGCTCTGAGCAGGGAGCTGCCCAGGGAGTTCCACCACCATCTCCCTCTGGCCGCCAAGGAAACCGAGGCTCATGGTGACCTGGCCCAGGTCTGTTGGACTCAGGGTCCTTCTCATCCCCAAGATCAGAGGGCTGCTACCAGGGAAGGAGCTGGCCCCTAGTAGACACACCCCAGGAAGCACACAGGGAAGGATGCCCTGGGGACTTCGGTATGTTATTGCAGAAACAAAAACAAAAAAAAACCTTTATTGCTATTTGACCCCTGCTTTCATGCCTCCATTTCCCAGAAAATGAGCCACGGGAGACACCAGGAGAGGCAGGAGACCACCCTCCTTGCACAAAACCCACTCCCTCAGATGCTGTCCTCAGCGAGGGTGGCTGGGGGCCAACCTAAGGGGGCCCACCCGCAGAGTGGCAGAGGAGGCGGGTGGACCCTGCGGACGTTGAGCTCTGTGGCGAAGGTCCTGGCCTTCTGGTAGAAGAAGAGCGACTTCTCGCGGTCCAGGAGAAAGTTGTGGGAGATGGTGGCCAGCCGCGTGTAGATCTTCAGCTGTGCCTTCTTGTTGCCCAGGTCCACGGTGGCTGCCAGTGCCAGCTTGGTAGTACCCGGCTGCATCAAACGGGTCCTGAAGGGCACAGGCCATGCTCAGCAAAAGGGGGACTCAGAGTCTGTCTTCCCAGAGGCCGTTCCTGTCTCCGGGTCCTTCCATATGTCCAGCCAATCCTGGCTCACCCCATGAGCCCTGAAGCCTGTGGCACTGCTGTGGTCTCAGCTGCAGGAGGTGGGGATGACCCTGACACCCCTGGAATACTTCCTGACTGTCCCTATGCCCCCACTCATATCAAGCCTCCTGCCCCAGTCCCACCCTCTCTGCAGGCAGTGGCTGCTTTCCCCATGGGCTGAGGTCAGGGCCGATCCTGCCTGCTCTGAGAGTTCCATGCAGGACCCATGGCTCCAAGCCCCAGCAGGGGCACAGCGTTGAGTGACCCAGGCTCCCCTCTGGCCCCTGTCCTTGCTGACCATTTCCAGGCCCTCCACTGGCCAGGCCAGGTACAAAACCATCTCCCAGGTGTCCTCTCTGGCAATGTTCCCTGAAATATTGACAGTGTGACTCCCCAGACATCCACTCCTGTTTTCAATGCATCTTTGGCTCAAACTCACCATCTCTGGGTTGGCCTCCGATACCTCTTCCTTGACCGTCCCATCCCCCACCCGGCTTCTCCCCACGTGCCTCCTCCACATGGGGGTCACCCAAGGGACCGAAGACTCGTGCCTGGCCTGTCCCCCTTTACCATCTCAAGATGGCTCCCAGGGCCAAGGACAAAGTCCAAGATGCAGCAGTCCATTCCCTGACTGCCCCGCCCCACACACGGAGCAGGGGCGTGAGAAGGCCCTGAGTCACCGCCCAGCCGAACACTGGACTCTCTGCTGGGTGTATGGCTGAGCCTAACATCCTTGCTCCCAGGCTGAGGGACCTGGGAGTGAACACTGACCATACAGGGTGGCCCGGGCTGTGGTAGAGGGAAGCCCAGAAGCCTGTGGGGGGCCCAGGAGGCCCCAGCCTCAGCCAGGGGTGGGAGGCAAGGGCTTCCTGAAGGAGTGGGCGCATCCCAACTAAACAGGAAGGAGCCAGCCAAAGCATATGTCTCTACGTATGCGTGTGTGTGTCCTCCAGGAAGGAGTTGCTCAGTGCAGGCAGGCCTGTGTGTGTGTGTGTGTGTGTGTGTGTGTGTGTGTGTGTGTGTGCCTGAGTGTGTATGTGCCTGTACATGTCAATGTGCCTGTAGTGTGTGCAGCAGCTAGTGAGTGGCAGGCTGAACCAGGACACACCTAATCCACCCTATTCCAGGACTCACTCTCATGTGTAGACTAAAGGGGACCCCATTTTAGAGGCAATCGGCAAGGATGCCCATTTACCCCTGCCTCTCTGCCAGCCTTCCAGGCCCCATCCAGCCCGGCTTTCTCTCCCACTCCTCTGGGCACTGGGTCCAGAGCCTCCTATACAAGGAGGAGGGCGTGGCCTTGGAAAGACAGCCTCCCTTGGGAATTCCGAGGGGGCCTTCCTGTGGGAAGCTGGCCTGTGCTGACAGCATAGTCACAATGAGGCCCAGAGGGCTGTGCCCCTCGACCCTAACCGTGGACTTTGGCCTCTCAGGTACTACTTGGCCCTTTCCTTCCTCCTGGGCAGGCGGAGTGCGCGGCAGGCTTGACCAAGAGAAAGGCCTCTTCTGGGAGGCCCGTCCCCTGGATTCCAGGTGAGCCCCTGAGCAGTGAACAGTGTCCCTCTGGGCCTGACACCTGGCACCTCCCTGTCTGGCTGGGACTTGGGAGGCCACCGGGACAGCTTCTGAGCACCAGGTGTCGCCAGCACTGGGCGGGGGCCTCCCGGGCAGCCCCAGGCCTGTGGTGGGGGATTCGGGGTGGGGTCTTAGGGCTGCCCCTGCTCCTCATGTTGTTCTAAGGCCCCCAAGATCTCGGTCCCTGGACTGGAGCGCCCTGGCCCCTCAGCCCATAAGGAGCACTGATGCGGTGCTGGTGCGATGCTGAGGAGGGGTGGGCACCTGCTGGCCAGAGGGGTGCAGACATCCCAGGTCTGAGTCTGCCAGTCCCAGCTCTCCACCCCTGCAGGACTGGGGGCAGAGGGAGTACAGGTCCCAGCACCTTTCCTCGAGACAGACCCGACCCAGCAAGGCCTCCGTCTGGCTGGCTTGGGCCCCGCCCCATTGCGCCTGCCCTGCGCTGGGGTTTCCCTGTCTGTGAAGCACAAGGTAAGACACTGGCCCCACCCCACCCTTCCTGGGTGATGTGAAGATTCAAGGTGTCTCGGGACTCCAGGAAGGAGTTGCTCAGTGCAGGCTGGCACCCTGGGCAGGCTTCCTAGAGGAGGCGCTGGGATTTGGGTTGGATCTTGCAATGTGGATTCAACATGAGGATGATGCCATCCTCCTAAGTGTCCTCCCCCCCGACCCTGTTTTTGTTAAATGCAACTTGACACTTGACTGTCAAGACTCAGCTTTGGTGTCACCTCCTCCAGGTGGGCCTCTCGACTACGATTCCCCTTTACCCAGAGGCCACCATTGCCCGCTCATGTGTCAGCCTCCCTGGCTGAGACTGAGTTCTTGAGGGTGGGGCCTGGCCACCTTGGGAGCTGGGTTGTATCTGCTAACCTTGCCGGCTCCTCCAGCTGGGTGCAGAGCTCCAGGGAGGCCACTGGGCCATTCCTAAGGAAGGCTGGAACCCAGGACTCTGGGGTCTGGGTGGAGATCCCACTCCAAGGGGGCCGGGAACACCCCGAGCCCTGCCCCTCCCACCCACCTTCAGGTCGTAGAAGATGATGTCGCCGAGCACCAGGTACACCTTCAGGTAGTAGAGGGTCTCCTGGTCGAACTCCAGCGGCGAGTTGCAGAGCGACAGGGCCTTGAGGTAGAAGTGCTCCGCCAGCTCGCCGTCGCCCAGCCGGTGGTGCAGGGCAGCCAGCCGGTGGTAGGCCACGCACTCATTCAGCCGGTCCCCTGGGGTGCAGGCCAAAGGGACAGGTGTGAGGACGTGGCTTCCTGGGGCAGGCAGGGCACAGGCCCCTCAGGAGCAGGTATGCAGACCTCGGGCAGCACCTGGCTTGCCTCCAGGCACCTGTGGTCACCTGGGAAGCTCTGCCCAGTCCCTTCCAGGTTCCCAGACTCACTTTCCCATCTGCAAAGCAGAACTAATAAGGCCTGCCCCCGTCTACTGTGAGGCTTTGGCAAGTTGGACTTGGATGGCCCAGCTCTGCCTACACATAGCCACCTGCCTTTGCTCACTGGTTTTAACCAGGGGAGCCCAAAAGCCATGCAGTCCAGGTGCTTCCGGGCACCAGGGCTCCAGGCAACCCACAGACGTGACATCCGACTCCTGGGTGTGTCACAATCAGAGCCCCCTACCCTGGGGAGTCACTGCGTGCCTGAGCTCCAGGTCCCCCCACAGATGCGCAAACCCACCTTGGCTGTCTCCGATATCTTTCCGTTTTCAGGGCGAGTGCCGTGGAGCCTGCATTCAATGCATTCCCACACAGCTGCACACCTACTGTGTACTGGGACCCGGGGCACAAGGTGCTGGTGCATGCGGCCTGCCCAGGGCTCCCTGTGTCTGGAGGCAGACAGACAACCCTGGCACAGCACCAGGGGATGCCCAGCCTTAAGGGGCAGGCTGCTGGAAGGGGAACTGGGACTTCATCAGCCAGAGAGCCGTGTGGTTGATGAGGGTGGGAAGGGCACAAGAGAAAGGGAATATGCCATTCAGCCAGGCACAGGGACCAACGAGATGCCTGGCATGTCTGGAAGGCACAGGCCACACTGGGCAGCCCTTGTGGTCAGCAGCGGGAAGAGGCAGAGGAAGCAGAGCTCAGCCAGGCAGGGGGCTCTGCACCGCGTGAGAGACCTTGGGATGTGCCCCACGGCTGGACTGGGAAGCCAGCTGGGCAGATGTGCCTGCCTGGACAGGAGACCAGGAAAATCTGGCAGGTGTTTCAGCTCCTGCCCTGAAGACCTGGAGGCTGGGCTCTGGCAAAGTGTGGCTCCTGGCAGGGTGGGGGCTCAGGGGACTTACCCAGAGTGATGCTGAGTGCTAGGGCCATGTGGGCAAACTCCAAGCCCTCCTGGGGTTCCTAGGGCCATGTGGGCAAACTCCAAGCCCTCATGGGGCTCCTCCAGCGTGGCCAGCAGTGCCACCAGCTTGTGCACAGCCGCAGCTCCGCCTTGCTCCGACTATGGTTCCCCGTAGTCACTGCCAGGAGCAGCGCCCGGTCCTACCACACGGGCAGGTGGGGTCAGGCTTCCCGCAGCACCCACCTTGCCCAGCGCCCTCCTCAGAGCTCGAACATGTGCTTGGAGCCTCCCACGCCCCAGCTACCCCTGGATCTCGACACAGCTCTGTGCTCTGGGATAACGCACGGGTCAAACGCTCAAGTTAGGGGCTGAAGAGTCACCTGAGGCCCATCCAGCTACACCCGGCAGCCTCAGACCAGCCTCTCCCACCTGCGCACCGGGGGTCTGACTGGGGGGAGCCGGCACTCCTCTCTGCTCTAAAAGCACCACATTTATCTGTGCCCAGGGCTGAGCCACACCGTGAGCTCAGAGGAAGGGAGAAGCCGTCCCCGCTTCGGGCTGCATGCAGTCCTGGGCCTCCCACTGACATGCTGTGTGCCCTTTGACATGTCCCTGTGCCTGAGCCTCAGTTTCCTCATCTGGAAGATGGGGACAGGACTTCCTGCTCATGGTTGCTTGAGATCAAGTGCAAGGGTAAGGCCATTGCCATGTCCAGGCTCCAAGCGTTTGTCCCGGGCAGGGGGCACAGTCAGTATCATTCCTGGTGAGACCACTAGGAAACCAAGCATGTGCATGGGTGGCCCTGCCTCCAGGTGCGAGGCCTCTGCCCTGCCACACCTGTGCCTCAGCCCTCCAGGTGCCCCCCTGAGGCTCACCCACATCAGCCCACAGGCCAGCTCACCCGGTAGAAGGACACGGCTTTCTCCCGCTCCCAGGCCCCATTGAAGAATATGTCTCCAGCTGCCTCAAACAGCTCCAGCCCCAGGTTGAGGTCGCCTGTGTACAGGGCCACATTCTGTGCCCCTGAAAGGAGGCAGAAATTCCCTCAAGACCCACACCTGGCGAGGTGGCCATGCCCACCTTCACCAGCCTCCTTCCTGTCACACACTGCAGGTACACCTGAGCATTTATCAGACCCTGGGCATTAGGGCTGCCCCCACCACTGGCATGAGGACAATGAACTGATGAACCTGAGTGACAGGAGATGACTGAGCAGCTGCAGCCCGGGAGCCCGACACCTGTGAATCCTACCACCAGGGCTACCCTTAGCCCACTCTCCCTGCACTCAAACCAGTCTCCATGGCCCCCAGATTGCTGGGAGCCCATCCCCTGGCTCCTTTCTGCATTGCCACATCCCTGCCACAGCTCCGGGCCACACACCAACAGTGTGTGTGGGTGGGCCTGGTCCCTTCTTGGCCATGAGCTCTTGATCCCTCTCCTCAGCTCAAGGAGGTATACAGCACGTGCTCAATGATGAAAGCTTCACCAGGTTCGTGGGCTTCACAGGTTGTTCCAGATCACACTGTGTGGGAAAGCCTCTGTAAACAGCCGTTACGATAGATGCATTTTGTAAGGAGATGTGGCACGTGTCGCTTGGAGCAGGTTCTTCTGTGTGTTAACTGAGTGGCCACATTATTTGAGCATGTGCTGTATACCAGCAGGTGCTGGGCACTGAGGGGCCACGCCTCTGCCCTCAGGGAGAAGATGCTGGCCACTGGGGGAGGATATGAGGGAACCAGTTGGACGGAGGGAAAAGGCATACAACAGATGCTCAGCAGTGGCTTAGGAATGAGTGGATGGATGGATGGATGGGTGTGTGGACAGACGGATGCTTGGGTGGATGGACAGATGAATGGGTGGGTGGTTAGAATGATGTGTGTATGTATGGGTGGGTAGACAATGTATGGATGGGTGGAGGGTAGATGTATGTACATATGGCTGGATAGATGGGTGGATAGACAAATGTATGGGTAAATGGACAGATGAATGGAGGGATGTATTAATAGGTAGATTGGTGGGTAGATGGATGGATGGACGAATGGGGGAATGGATGGAAGGATGAAGAGGAGGATGGATGATGTATGCATGGAAGGATGAACAGGTGAATGGATGGACGGACGGATGGATGATGGAAGGATGAACAGGAGGTGAGTGGATAGATGGATGGAAGGAAAGACAGGTGAATGGATGGATAGAAGGATGAACAGCTGAATGGATGGATAATGGGAAAATGGATGAACAGGTGAACAGATGGATGGACAGGTGAATGGATGATAAAAGGATGGATGGATGATTGATGGATGGATGGACCCACAGGTAAACAGATGATGGAAGAATGAATGGATAGATGGGTGAATGGACAGATGGATGAACAGGTAAATAGATGATGGAAGGATGAATGGATGGATGGACAGAGAGTGAACAGCACAGGGGCCCTCCTGCAGCCCTTGCCACTCACCTGGATGTACAGGTCCACCAGCTCGCTCTGCCGCAGGATGTAATAGATCTTCTCTGCTTGCAGCCAGGCATGCGCCTCCTTCTCTTTCTTCTGGAGGTCAATGAAAATCCCCAGATTTCGTTTGGTGTAGTCCAGAGCGGATTTGTAGGCCCTGGAATCAGACACAGTGTCAGAACAAGGGCTCTCATCCTCCTGGAACCAGTCTGCCTCCTCCTGGGTCTGGTGACACATGAATCTGGAATGTGGGGACTGGGAACGGCCCTCTTGTGTGTGCAGTGTTCTGCCCTTCCCAGGCTGCTGGGAGGGCCAGGGTGAACACACACGGCATGGAAAAGATGAAGGACATCCTTCTGAGGGAATCGAGCATCGTGCTGCCCTGTGGCAGGAGGAGTGTGCTAGTCCATCTCCCCTCCTCCCAGACATGGCCTGTGTCTTCTCCAGACACACCAGGAGCCGTTAGTGTTCAGTGGCTATCTAGGCCGATGGTTCTTGAGATGTGCAGGCATCGCAGTCACCCAGAGGCCTGTCTGTATAGCTTGCTGGCCCTGCCCCCAGAACTTCCGGCTCCACAGGCCTGGGGCAGACCCTAGAACTCCCACTTGCCACAAGCTCCTAGGTGACATGGATGCTGCTCTCCTGGTCCAGGCACCACACTTTGAGAAGCATGGCTTTAGCACACTGGCCTGTTTTCCTTCTGTGAACCTGAGGCCAAGACTGGAGCCAGTCTCCCAGGTCGCCATGGAATCTGGCTCCTTCCCTCTTCCCGACACTCGAGGAGGTGTAACTGCAGCAATGTCACCGGGCCCTGTGAGTGGGGTGGCCAGGGTCATGGTTACCCCACCACATCAGGATGCTCGGGGGAAGCCAAGTGGGCCACATATGGGATGTGAGACCTTGAAACCCTGCCCCAGGGAAGCAGGTGACACAACTGGCTCTGTCTTCTGTGGAAAGAAGCCACAGGTGGCTGCTGTGGTCACATTTAAGGGGACAGATGAAGGCCAAGAGTGAAGACTCGGGGCAGGCAGAGGTCAGATGATGAAAGCCACCCTAGTAGGAAGAACAGCCCAGACTGCACGTACTGCCTCTGCTGGGGTTGAGATGACCTTTGGGGAGGTGTGCAGGCAGGGATGGGAAGACGTGTCACCCAACAAGGGAGGCTCAAGCTGGGACTCATGGGCCATCTGCAGCCCTGGGACGACCCCAGGCCCAGCAGCTCAAAGAATCTGATGCCAAGAAACCAAATGATCCCAAGGACAGGGGCTACTGGGGCCCTGGGCCAGCTTCCCTGTGCCCCCTCCCTGCCCTGCTACCCCACCCCCTTTGTGCCCCTCCCCGCAGTGGGGGCTTGGGCGCTGGGTTCCTGGAGGGTCTCCTTCCAGTCAGAGAATGCCCCTGGGGAAGAAGCCTGGGTCTGAACCCCCCACCCCTCCTTGGGCAGATGTGTGGGACCGGGGCCCCTTCACACGGTCCTTTCCAAAATCTCATCCCTCCTAGGGCCAGGAGTGGGTGACAGGCCTGTGCTGGGAAATGGGCAGATTTAGCCACAGCCCCTGGGGCTCTGAGCCAGGCCACAGGAGGCACCTCTAGTCTCACTATGCCATGACGTCCATCCTGGGAGGATGGACAAAGCGCTGCAAGGCAGAGGGGATCCGCAACAGCATCCCTTGTCTTGGTCATTTCCCTAGACTCAACTTCCTCATCTATCCTCTGCAGCCTAGATTTCGGACAGCCCTGCCCACCTACTGTCCGTTCACTGCTCAGTCTGCAGTGACTGTTCTATAGCACTCCATGGCTCCCCAGTGCTCTTGGGGAGAAGGCCAAGCCACAGCCTAAGGCCCCAGGCCCTGCTTAGCTCTCCAGAAGAGCTTCTCACCATCCAGCACCCAACCCACCCACTCCCAACTCTGCACCTCCCTGCGTAAGCCCGACTCACTCAACCCTGCTCACACTCCCGCTCACTCACCACCATTCACCCACCGCCACTCATCCTCACTAGCTCACCCCTGGGCCTTCACACAGGCTACACCACCAGCCCCTCCCCGCCCCCACCACCATCACCTATTACTTGACTAAATCCAATCAACCCTCTGGTCCCAGACTGAAGAGTCTTCCCGAACCCGGGGCCAAGTGCTGCCCCGCCATCACGCCACTCACCCTTTTGTGGCTTCTCTGGCCTGAAGCTCACATTCCTACATTCAGCCACTGCCACCTGAGGACCCCACAAGCCCCATTTGTGGGTGGGGCCTGGCCCACTCTGCACAACAAGCTTTTGCGTGAACTGCTCTGCGGCTTTGGGCAATCACCTGCCCCATGTTCTCTGTGAAGTGGGATGACAGGTGCACAGGCTGCCGCTATACCAAGCAGATAACATGGGCACAAGAACCGGCGTTCCAGGCCTGGCTCATGGAGGGGCCCCAAGTCCCAGCTCAGCAGAGCCTGCGTCGACCCCAGGGTTATGTCTAGGGATTCCCAGCACGCAGGCCTTTCAGTGCTCAAGGCAGGATTGTCCCTGGGCAAACCAGGAAGAGCTCGCTGCCCCAGTAGGCACAGAGGGCCTGGCCCTGCATGGGAACGGCCTGTCTCCAGGGCACTTGCCAACATCTGCTGTTGGCCATGACTCAGCACTTTCGATGGTGGAAAAACCACTTGTTTCTGAATCACAAATTCCAGGTGTGCCCTGACCCGAGTGGCCCTGGAAGGTGCACAGGACAACCCGGGGTACCCACTCTCCACGTGGCCCATCTCCACGGCGACCAGACGGGCCCACTCGTAGTAGCCCTTGCCCTGCTGAGCCGGGCCCTGGTGGGTGAAGTCCCGGCCACACTCCCTGCAGGGCAGCCTCGAGAACAGCCTCATGGCCTCCAGGAGGTAGTGCTGGGCCAGCCTGCTGGCACCCGCGTGCAGGCACCGGGCCCCGAAGTTGGCCAGCACCACTGCCTGGTTCCTCCTCTGGTCCAGGTCCCAAGCCACCCGTAGGGCGCGGTAGTAGCTCTCGGCTGCCTGCCTCGTCGGGCCCGTTCTCTTCAGAGCCACGGCCACCATGTTGGCATTCACGCCCTCCTGGTCCTCACTGGCCACCACTGCATCCTGGACAGACTGCAGGATGTTCAGGGCCGCTGGGCTCTGCCCCTGAAGCACGTGCAGCCAGGCCACAGCCACCAGGCGGTCCATGATGGCACGGACTCCGGCAACAGCACTGGCTTCCACCGCCTGAGTCATGAAGGTGATGGCCGGGCCGTGGTAGCCACGGTGGCTGTACAGCTGGGCCAGGCTGGCGTGGAGAAGTCCGCGCATTGCCTGGCCTGTGCCCGGGGTTAGGGAGGCCAGCGCTCGCCTGAGGTAGTGGGGAGGCTGTGGGGCTGAAGGACGTTCTGGAGCACCAGGTTCACGCTCCTCAGCGAGCCGGCCAGCGAGTCCTGTGCCCTCAATGAGGCCACCTTGACACAGCTCAGCACCAGGTGGGGCAGGCACTTGCAGCTGCAGATGTCAGCTAGGAGTAGGTGACAGTCTGAGAGCCACGCAGCCTCTGGGGCTCCCGAGTCCCTGTGCAAAAGCAGTAGCCGCTCTAGGACGGGCAGGGCCTCCTCGGGCTGCTTGAGGTGCACGTGGTGCCTGGCCAGCAGGAAGCAGGCCCGGGCCTCGGCCTGCAGGCTATGGCCACCCACCGCCCACCGTAGCACCAGCTGCAGGAGCTCCCCCTCCACCTCAGTGCTGCAGATGTGGCCAGGCGTCCCCAGGAGCAGGGCCACAGCTTTGGGCACCACCTGTGTACACTTCTCTCGGTTCTTCTGCTTCCAGTAAATACTGGCCAGGTTGGCGTACACAGCCACCACCAGGAACAGGTCCCCAAAGCTGCCCTCCAGGGCCCCCGGTGCTTCCTCAAAGTACACCCAGGCCTGGGACAGCTTGAGCCTCCTGCTGCACAGCCGCCCCAGGAGGAAGCAGAGCCTGGCAAGGGCCGTGACGAGGCCAGCTTTCTTGGCCACCCCTCGGGCCTGTGCCAGGTGCCCAGTCAGCTCCTCGTCGCTAAAGCTGCAGAACACGCTGCTCAGCCATGGCAGCGCCACGTCAGCTGGCCTTGTACCCGGGGGCGTTCAGGAACAGCAGCAGTGAGCTCAGGGCCTCTGGGTCCTCAAAGTCGTCCTCAGCTTCCAAGCAGAAGGAGAGCTCCTCAGGGTCCTGCAAACTCACGTTGCTGGATGCTGGGGGCAGCCTGGGCAGGTCTTTGTTATATTGTTCCAGAACATTCTTCATCTTCTGCAGGGTCTCCTGTGGCCCCGGGCCCAGGCAAGGTGGAGGTATTTCTGCAAGTCACAAAAACACCTAGACAGATTAGAGTCCAGCAGTGAGTCCTTGGTCCACTGGGGACAGGGTCCCCGCATCCCCGCCCTCTGTGTCCCTGGTGCAGCTTGCCATGAGCCCTTGAGAATTATGTGCAATGCAAACCCAGGGCCTGGAGCACGTAGGAACTCCGGCACTATGGGGACAGAATACACAGGCCTGTGGCCCGACTCTCCTACAAAATCACCCTCCTGTCCTGCTTTGTCACCCACCTGACGGCATGGTTTTAGGGCACTATGTCAGCTCAGTGACCCCTCAGAGATGCCTTTTCAGGCCCCCCGATGGGGTACAGGAATCCATGAAATCCCCAACAGCCAATCAGAGCTATTGATCAGCTCAAAAGTTGCTATGCAAATTGGTAAAGCCACTGATGGCACAGGACAGGGGTGTTGTAGCCATGTACCCAGCTCCGTGCAGGGAAACGGACCATCCCTGCAGGAAGGATGGGAAAGCTTCCAGGCCTCTGTGGCCACCTTTACCTTGGATGGTCTGAAAACCTGAAGCCCACAGTTCCTAAAGGGTTAACAAAGGCCAAGCTGCTCAAGCAGCCCCCTGATGCCTGCTGGCTTCTTAGCCAAAGCCCCCTCCCAGAGGTGAGCAAACAAGCGCATTTCCTGTTGGAAAACCTGGGATGAAAGGAGGCATTACTGGGAAGGAAAAAACCTAGATTTAAACAGACACTGTTTCAAGCTCACATGTAAAAGGTATTTTCAATACAAACTGTCTCCTTATTCGTCTGTAAAGCCTTGGAATTAAAAAAATAAATATGATTCAGAGACAAATGTCTGACTTGACTACACTAGATTAGCTAAGAAATCTCCCCCACTCGGCAGAGGCACACAGCCCCTCCCAGCCACTACCCTGGCCTCCAGGGCAGCTGGAGAGCCACGTGCCATTGCTCCAGGGACTTTGGCAGAGGGTGGAACCACCCCGTCCCTGAGGCAAACCTACAACAGCCTTCCCTTCCCCAATGGCTTCCCGGGCTGCCTCTGGGACCTTGTGCCTGCATCCCAAATGTACTGGGATGGATCCCATTCCCAGGGAACTTCCAAGGGCCCTTGGGGCGTCCACATCACCAGGCTGTCCACATACGGACCCTGTGTGATGGGAAGAGACAGAGCCATAGAGGGGAGAAGGGAGGGTCTCCCTGAATCAGCCCCTCAGGAAGGAGCAGACCCTTCAGGGACCTCAGTTGAGGCCCCTGGAACCTAAGGCTCTCAATTCTGACACCCGCTGAGGGCAGTGTGGCCTTCCACCTCTGAGGCAGAGCACAGGGCGAGCTGCAGCTTCTCCAGGTCATGAGAAAGGAACCCACAGCTACACGTGGGCCCCAGCAGTGGAAAGGATGCCCCACCTCGCTCGGGGACCAGGCGGGGGCCAGCATGTTCACTGGAAGAAGTGTGGGACCCCACAGCCACCAGTGCCAGAGTAGACGGGAGGTTCAGGCCCACCTCAGGTGACGTCCCCCAAGCCCCCAGCCCACACCGCAGAGGGGTGACAGCCGGATCCAATGCCCACCGTACTCAGCTCTGTGACTTCCCCCAGCATTACTCCAAGGCCCAACTCAACCAGAGGAAGCCTGAGCCACCGGCAAAACCCACCTCGTTCCTGCGGCTGCTCGGTCTCAGCTTCCTCTACTGAGTCTGGCAAGGGAGAAAAAAGAAGCCATCAACACCCCCAGCCAGCGCCTCTGGTCCCACGTCAGCTTGAGCTGGGTGTCGGTGTTGCAGGGTGAGAGCATTGCAGGGTGCAGGGGTTGAAAGTCATATCATCCTCTTCACTCCTGGATCATGGGAACAACATCACTGGGGGGTGGACACTTTCTGCGATATTGGGGTAACATCGTCTTCTGTGCCTTGGAATATTAAGGACAATATCACGGGGGCGGGGGCGTGTACATCTTCTGCAATATTGGGAATAATATTATCCTCTCTCCCCCTGCAAATTCGGAAAGCTATCACAGAGTGGGTGTTCACCTCCTGCGATATGGGGATTAATACCATCTTCTCCCCTTCCGGATATCAGCAAGAGTATCACACGGGGGTGTACAGTGTCCGCGATACTGGGAGTAATATCAACCTCTCGACCTTGAGATATTAGGAACGATATCCCAGGCTGGGTGTACGCCTCCTGCTCTATGGGGAGTCATATCATCCTCTCCCTTAGAGGATATTAATAACAATACCACAGGGCGGGTGAACACAGCCTGTGATACTGGAATTATTATCCCCTTCTCCCCCTCCGGATACTAGGAACAATATCACAAAAGAGCTGTACCCTCCTTGCGATATTGGGAGTAATATCATACACTTCTTCTGTGAATATTAGGAGCAATATCACCGAGTGGCTGTCCGTTCATTGCTATGTTGGGAGTCATGTCATACTCTACCCCCCTGGATGTTAGGATCAGTGTCACGGGGTGAGTGTACACCTACTGTGATATTAAAACTAATATCATGCTCTCTGTCCCTGGATATTAGGAATGACATCACAGGTAGGTGTACACCCCCTGCGGTATTAGAAGCAATAATATTATAAATTAGTAAACATCAATGATCGATTTTAATAATTATCAGGCTGGTCTCAAACTCTTGACCTCAGGTGATCTGCCCGCCTCGGCCTCCCAAAGTACTGGAATTACAGGCATGAGCCACTGCGTCCGGCCAACACAATTATTTAAAGAAACAGGTCAAGAAACTGCTAGGTTCAAATGCTACCGTGAGACACTGTCATGGCCTTAGGCAAATTCACTTCTCTTGGTCGTGTTTCTAGGCTCATCAAAAACCAGCTTTGGACTAAGGAACCTGTTGCTTTCCAATGCCTTCCTTCTGCGATTCCAGCCCAGATTTCAGGACTGCTCTCCCACTTGGTATATGAAAGCACTTTCTATGTATAATAGCAAGAGTACATTTCTGTGTTGAATGCGGTTTGGGACCTACTCTATGAGGAAGAATATCACCATGTAACTGTTAGCATGACGACAAGGTGCACTCTAGATAAGGATAACACATAAGATGTGGCCACAAGCCTGTGCTTGCCTGGCAGGCAGATGGGGACGTCTCATTTCGTAAGGCCAAGGGGGCCGGCTGCACCTTAACATCCTCAATCCACGTCAAGTTCACAACGTCCTTCTGACATCAAACCACAGGTATCACATACTTTTCCATCCTTTCTACCCAAGATTAAAATATGCAGAGCACCGTGATAAAGACGCCTCCATCACCAGCATGTTGGCTCTCGTTCTGTAGAATTACATACTTTCAGTGCAAAATGATCACCAGGCTGCAGCGGCAAGCAAGACTGGCCTCCGTGGGGACAGCAGGCCCTGCAGCAGCCACCACTCCTGTCACCACAGTCTGATGCAGCTGCAGAGAAGCTGTGGCTGAGGCCATTCACTTTGTGAGAGAACCGCACAGGAGGGAAAAGGTAGGGAAGGTAGGGAAGAGGGCCATGTCGGCCTCTGAGTCCAAGCCAAGCCAATCCCCTGTGACTTGCACGTATATGCCCAGATGGCCTGAAATAACTGAAGAATCACAAAAGAAGTGCAAATGCCCTGTCCCGCCTTAACTGATGACATTCCACCACAAAAGAAGTGAAAATGGCCAGTTCTTGCCTTAAGCGATGATATTATCTTGTGAAATTCCTTTTCCTGGCTCATCCTGGCTCAAAAACCTCCCCCACTGAGCACCTTGTGACCCCCCTATTCCTGCCCGCCAGAGAACAACGCCCCTTTGACTGTAATTTTCCTTTACCTACCCAAATCCTATAAAACAGCCCCACCCTTATCTCCCTTCGCTGACTCTCTTTTCGGACTCAGCCCGCCTGCACCCAGGTGATTAAAGAGCTTTATTGCTGACACAAAGCCTGTTTGGTGGTCTTTTCACATGGACATGCATGACAGGCAGGTACAGAGCCAGGGAAAGACCTGTGATGAGAACAGAAAGGAATGCGCCTCCCTGTACACACTCAGATTTTATGACAATGTGGGCAGGGGGCTGAACTAGATGCCTAAGAACATTCCTCTAAGTTATTTTCCTGATTTGCTCAATATTGATGTAAAATCTGAACTCAGACAAAAATTTTTTAAATCGCTTCAATCAATATCTTTGTCTGGTGCTCAGCATCATGTCTACATGATCATCTAGAAAACCAACTTCTGTTCTAAGGCTCACATCTTCCTATGAAGTCCCAGGGATTTTACAAGGGAATGCACCTCTCATTCGCATCAAGAACACACACAACTACCATTAAAGAAATGCTTGATTTGCTTACACCATTTTTTTAAACACCCAGATTTGAAATACAATTGAGAAGACAACTTTTTGATAGCTCTGCTTTGGAACTGCGAACTGCGGATGGAGAAAATAACCTGCCGTGATTTCTAACCAGTCAACAACCCGTCTTCCCTGGCTGCAGTAGGAGCAGTGTTTCTGAGCTCTTTCTCGGTTCTTTCTGAAAAAGAACCCAGCTGGTTAGGGGACAGATAATCATCAGTTGTCAGCGGGCTTCCTGGGTCCCACATCCCCATGTGATACGTGGAAGTAAAAAGCTATCAATGACCAAGCATCTGAAAGCTTATCCCACCTCGCCATCTGCTTCTCCTGCCACGCAAATTTAAAATTAATAAGGCTGCTATTAGAGAACAGAGTTGGTGCTGCATCTGTCTTCCTAAAATTACGGATAATTACCAGCCCATAATGGCTTCTAATCAGATTTGAGTAGTCCCTTAGACAGGAAGCTAAAGTGCCTCAGCCCTAAACTGAGAAGAAAACAGAAACTAGAAGGCTCTAGGTTTGATTTTTTCCCCCTTGTTCTAAAGTTGCTGTTCCCGAATCTCCTTCTACTGTCTTGTTTATAAAATGTATGAGAAACAGGGAATTTAAAGACACTATAGAAATGGCCACTTTTTCTAGGTACAAACTTTGTGAACATGATTTTCAGCTGCTGGGCTTTTCCTCCACAAACTGTGAGCCTGGAGTACATTTTCTCCCTCGTGGTTACACATTCAGAGTCAGGGAAGGTGGCGTTAGCAGTAAAGAGGGGAGTGCAGTGAGAAGTGACTGGACACTGAGAGGGGCAGACAGGGACTCTACCTCGGTGGCCTGCAGTGCTCCCGGGCCTCGGCCTTTACTTTTCTATCTGTACAAGGGATCTAAAGGCCCGTGATTCTAGGCCACGACAGCTCTTCATACACACACACGCAAACATCACACGCCTATGTCAAAAGCTGTGACACGCGGCTGAGTTCCTGAAGAAGTTATCTTGTATCATTTCTACTCAAGTACTCCACCTCCTTCCAGACAAGTATCTGAAGATGATGGGCTACCCCACAGCAATGTGTGTAACCTCTCCTGCTCACGATCCCTGTTCACACAGCATTTTTCAAAAGCATTTGGCGTGAAGTGACAGAAGAAAGAAGAATAAGGTTCTTTCAGCCCATTCATTCATTCATTCATTCATTCAACAAATACTGACTAACTATCTACGTGCCGGGTACTGGTATATCACCAGGGAGATATACATAGATCTCAGATATAACAGGGAACATATATTTTTGTAGGTGGAGACAGACAGCCAAAAAGTATGTTCAAGAGTGATCAATGCTGTAGAGGAAAATACACCAGGAAACAGGAAAGAACAATACCCCTAGCCACCCTACACTGGGGTGACGCTAGCATTACAACATGGAAACAGGGGCCAGGTGCGGTGGCTCACACTTGTAATCTCAGCTCTTTGGGAGGCTGAGGCAGGCAGATCACCTGAGTTCAGGAGTTCAAGATCAGCCTGACCAACACGGCGAAACCCTGTCTCTACTAAAACACAAAAATTAGCTGGGCATGGTGGCACACGACTGTAATCCCAGTTACTCAGGAAGCTGAGGCACAAGAATCACTTGCACCTGGGAGGCAGAGGTTGGAGTGAGCCGAGATCGCACCACTGCACTCCAGCCTGGGCCGAGATCACACCACTGCACTCCAGCCTGGGCCGAGATCACACCACTGCACTCCAGCCTGGGTGACAGAGCAAGACTCTGTCTCAAAAAATAAAATATAAATGTAAACAGAGAATAAGATACCAAAAGAAAGAACATGAAAGATTAATTGTAACAAAAGGCTCTGTAAGCTGATACTTTCCTTTCTTGTCCCTTACAAATGAAAAAAAAGGGCGGGTAGGGGGTAGCATCAAAATGATGGTGATGTTTTAAGCTGGCTTCGGGTTTCAGATGTCTGACAGCCACACTCATGTACTTCAAGAAAAAGCTCTGTAAGCCATCTGGGCAATGGTTTAATGTCTTTTTTTTTTTTTTCCAGAGGGTTTTTAAAATACGGGAAAACGTGTGTGTTTCTTTGGCTGCTCTGTGCCCGCACATGTGCAAACTGTGCTAACAGATTTTTCCACGTTTTGCTGAATTTGCCAGCTTGCCATAAACAGGCTTCCATGTCTTTTCTTAATTGTCTATAAATAGCACAAACACCCAAAAATGCAAATCAAGACAAGCTGTCCCTTCAACTGCTGCTGCCACGATGACAGCGAGCGACAATTGGCCAAATCAATACGCGGAGACTGAAGCTGTCGGGCAGAGAGCACAGGGCCGACTGCTTTTCCCATAGCGTTTAAAGAAACAAGCGGAAACGGCTCTCCACACAGGACAGACACGTCCTTTGTTCTTTGAATAAATACTGCCAATGCCCAAAATACTTTCTCCATCACACCATCTATATGGAATTCAAGTTCCTTCCAATACCGTGAGTAACGCCAGTGATAGATTATGTTTAGCCATAATGACCCATTAGCATTCTTTTTCCTCTAAAATGTTGAAATAACAACATTGAGTGTGCACTCACGAGGTGCCAGGCTCTGAGTTTTATCTCGTTTAGTTCTTGTTGAAATCCTGTAAGATCAATACCATATTCTCTCATTTTTCATCAGTGAGGAAACTGAGGCCTAGAAAGGGTAAGTAAGTTGTCCATGGTCACAGGTTATTTAGGAACTTTTCTCTAAACTTTCAAAAGTTAACTACTGCCACTATTACAAATGGGTTTCTGTTTGTTTGTTTGTTTTGAGACAGGGTCTTGCTCTGACCAGACTGGAGTGCAGTGGTGTGATGATGGTTCACTGAAGCCTCGACCTCCCGGGCTCAAGTGATTCTCACACCTCAGCCTCTCCAGTAGCTGGGATTACAGGCATGAGCCACCACACCTGGCTAATTTTTTAATTTTCATTTTTTGTAGGGATGGGGTTTCACCATGTTGCCCAGAGACTGGTTCTGAACTCTGGGCTCAAGAGATCCTCCCAGGTCGGCCTCCCAAAGTGCTGGGATTACAGGTGTGAGCCACTGTGCACAGCCCTTCAAATGTGACTTATACAAAGTCCGAGCAGTGACAGGAAGAGAACAGAGACTTCAGAGAGTCTCCTGGCTGTTGCAACACCATATCCCTCCTCCATACCGTAACGTGTCTACACCCACCAAGCTCCTAGACATTGAAGGCAGGCCAGCTCAGAGACGAAACAGCAGTAAAGAAAGAGAAGGTGCAGACATGTGTCTTGATTTCAGCGCCAGCGTGCCTCTCTGCCCTGCAGCTGCACAGGCAGAAACCAGGGGCCGTGAGTCTGAGGCAGTGCGTTTAGTTCCTGGCAGATAATCTTTTGGGAGACAATCCCATAAAATTAGTGTTACACTTCTCAAAAAGGAAGTGTCACTTTTATAGAAAAATCGATTCCATTTGGAAGAAAGGTTTAATAAAACCACAAAAGGATAATACATTCATACAACAACAAATTAAATTCATCCGCTACAAACTGAAATCCAAAGCCCTCTGGGCACACAGCTGCTTTTCTGAGCTGAAATTCAACTCCAGTTGAGAAACAGGTCAACTTTTCTAAAAAGATTTCTTTTTCACATGCCTTAAATAAAAATTCCTTTCCCTCACTTGTCATTTTCCAGATTTAATGGCTCTGTTGGCCTTCCTCTCATTTAGGCCATGAGCACTGACTGCATGTCTGCTACAGCCGGGACTCCAAGGGAGGCACCCTAGGGAACACAGATGACCACAGCACAGCGACACCCTCAGGGAGCACACACGGGGAAGGCAAGATGATACAATCGCAGCCTTCACACAGAAAATAACTTGGCATCCATACCCCGTCCCATTTCTAGAAAACAACGATGCTGAGTCAGTAACGTTTACCGAACAGCCTGCAGTGTGGAGGGGGCTCCATGCGGGGAAGAGCACCTTCAGAAGGGGGCATACAAGCAACATGGAGGCAGGAGATGCCCCCACCCACAAGGGCCAGCCTGGGGGTCTGCAGAAATGCCCATGCATCTGGGAGGAGGGAGAGAGAACAAGATACTTAAATGCTCCTAAATGAATAGAAGCCTCCCAAGATCCTCCCCCGAAATGGGGCAGGGATTTACAAAAGACCAAAGCAAGCATGCGCAGTTACCTGAGCATAGCGCCACGAGAGCGAGCTATCCAGGAAGAAACAGGATCCCTAGAAGCCTGAGCCTCTACTCCCAGCTCTGCGACTCATTCACCCTATGACCTTGGTGAAGGCTCTTAGCTTCTGCGAGCCACAAGAGAATCATGGGAAAACAGAAGATATGAAAACTGCTCTTTTTCACAGAACTGCTGAGGGAATAAAATCAGATAATGGATTTTAAAATTCTCTGTGAATTACGAAGCAAAATACAAACGTATGAAATCATTCTTACCATTAATACCAGCACTGTAAAATTAAGAGCAGAGTTAAGACCACAGCATTTTCCACCCCCCTACTCCTGAGAGAAACAGTGAGTCCAGCCGATGTATTCGGGCAACCCCAGTATCTAGGCTTCCAGAGCCTCAAACAGCTCATGAACTCTGACAATATCACTCCAGCCCAGTGCTCATTAAGTTCTCCAAGAGAGCCAACTGACAGAAAATACTACAGCTTTTTCAGCTGGGCTTGAAGCCCTCCAAGCTCACAGCACAGCTAAACAATGAAGAAGAGGTTTTCTGCCACTAGGCTCAAAAGCTGGCTTTTGTAGATTCCCATAGACAGAACATTCAAGGCCAGGCGTGGCGGCTCATGCCTGTAATCCCAGCAATTTGGGAAGTCGAGGCAGGAGGATCACCTGAGGTCAGAAGTTCAAGAACAGCATGGCCACTATGGCGAAGCCCCGTCTCTACTAAAAATACAAAAATTAGCAGGGCATGCTGGCGGGCACCTGTAATCCCAGCAACTTGGGAGGCTGAGGCAGGAGAATCGCTTGACCTCAGGAGGCTGAGGTTGCAGTGAGCTGAGATCACGCCACTGCGCTCCAGCCTGGGCGACAAGAGTGGAATTCCATCTCAAAAAAAAAAAAAAAAAAAATAATTCTTTTTTGCTGATGTTAAATTTCCTGTGCTTAACACAGAGAAATCATACAACACTGAAATCCTGAAAAACATATCATAAAAAGCATTTAGTGACTGAAAAGACATTCAATATAATCTGTAACAGTGAGTTCCCCTCCTCTTTCCAGCCAGCTCCACTAACGCTGTGACCCTTAACAATGCTTTCACTAACACAGAGGAAAATTAATAGGACTGCTTACCCCTCTCAGATGACAGCTAAAGCAGTGCTTCTCCCTGGGCTCACTAAAGATGACCTTTACCCAAAACCAGGCTGCAACGACCCCGTAAATGTTGACTAACAATTTCAAAATTCCCATGTTCTTTGTCCACTCCTAAGGAAGATGAACTAAAGCCAGGTGTCTCCAAGTCAGAACTAACAGAGGCCTTAAACATCAGATGGCCCATCCCCTTCTTTCACAACCGGGGGATCTAAAGCCGAGATTATGGAAGAAAACAACCTGTTTAGTAACAAAGCGAAAACCAAAGCCTAGTCACCTAACTCTGGTCCAGAACTGCTGCGACAATCCAGCACCCACACAGGATGAGTCTCCCTAACCGGAAACTCCGAAATCCACAACTTTTTGAGTGCCGACGTGACGCTCAACGAAATGTTCATTGGAGCAGCTCAGACTCTGGATTTTTGAATTCAGGATGCTCAACCAGCAAGTATAACACAAATATTCAAAAATCCAATAATGTAAAAAAATCTGAGACACTTCTGGTTCCAAGCAGTTTGGATGAAGGATATTCAACCTGCATTTTTTCTTTTTTTTTCCCTCTAATGAAGGAAATTTAAAATGAGGCTGGAGCAAAGCCATTCAATCCATACTAAAGCCATTGAATAGTTTAATTAGTACCCATTTAAAGTTAAGTGCTACCCACAGATATTTAAAAGGATGAATACATACATGCCTATAATCCCAGAACTTTGGAAGGCTGAGGCAGGAGGATCACCTGATGTCAGGAGTTCAAGACCAGCCCGGCCAGCATGGTGAAACTCCATCTCTACTAAAAATGCAAAAATTAGCTGGGCCTGGTGGCTCACACCTGTAATCCCAGCTACTTGGGAGGCTGAGACACGAGAATCACTTGAACCTGGGGGGCGCACGTTGCAGTGAGCCAAGATCACACCACTGTACTCCAGCCTGGACGACAGAGCAAGACTCTGTCTCAAAGAAAAAATAATAATAATTTAAATTGTGTTTTCACATGGAGCGCATGTTCCCAGAACACAAGCTCTGCCCTATGCTCCAAGGGCACACAAGGTGCCCCTTTATCTTAATACTCACCATATTGCATGGCAGCCGTTGGCGCGTGTCTGTACATCGCACTAGACTTCCTGTGCATGAGGCAGGGATCATATATTATTACTTCTCTGTCCCCAATGTCTGGCCTAGAAGACACTCAGTAAATGATTAATGAACTAAGTCAGTTACCAAGACATTTTAAACTTGTATTAACAAAATTGATTTAATAAGTTTATCAATGCAGCGTTCATACCACACAGCTTAAATCTCAACCTGCGGATTTATCTTGTGTTCTGCTAGATTATCACCTATTAACATTCAGGAGGCACCTAGTGTGTGCTAGGCATTACTAATTGCTGGGGACCTAGCAGTGACAAAACAACATTCCTTGTTCAAAGAAAAGTTCTAGTGTAAAGAGGAATAGAAGGAACAGGCTAGATTGATGAGAGAGCTAAGAAAAGGACAGGCTGCCATGGGAAGCACCTGGTCTTGTCTGGATGGTACACAGTTAACAAAGTCTGAGTGCTTCGTACAGCGTAAGATCATCCCCTCCAAAGAAGCTAATGAAGCTTTGATTCCCCAGTACCACAAGTCACCACAAAGGTGCGCACAGCCACATGCTTAGTGTAGGAAGTGAAACCAAACAAACAAACAAAGTTCCAACTTCCAGAGGCAACGGTCCAATTATGAAATCCTCTGGCTACGTTCAATTGAAATTCAAGAGGCCAATACTTAAGTGATAAATTAACCCAACCACTTAAAACTAAAGTAGTCTTTGGTTCAAGGGCTAAGGGTATACTACCTTTTACAAATTTATTAGCTCTTAATATTTACATTAAAATATGATGATGACAGTGTAATAATAACTTCACTGAGTAGTTACTATGTGTTAGGCACCAAACTAAGCACTTTACACACACATTTGCACAATCCTGTGAGATGATAATGACCCCTTGTCATCTCATTTCACAGATGAAAGTCAGGTTTATATAAGCTTAAAAACTTGTCCCAAATGACACAGCTAGTTAGCAAAACCCAGGCAGCCTGACTCCATAGGCCTTGCTTAAAGAAGTAATATTTATAAACTGTCCAGCACAGCGGTGGTACAAACAAGAGTTCAATAAATGCCTAAAGAGCACTTCATACCCAAAATCGTTTCCCGCCAATCAAACTACACTTACTCTGGTTCTGCAGAACCAACTGTCAAATTATTGTTCCATGAAGAAAAGGTGGAATGGGTAGAGGTCACAACAGAGTGAATAACTGGTAAATATACTTCATGGCAGGTAGTAACAGGATGTGGCATTTAGGCTATTTCCACATTTGTTTGCATAACACTTTTTTTCACAGTTCTAAAGCACAAGAGCCATTCTAAGCTGGTGAAAGCATAAGGCATGTCTACGATCCAGGACTCCAATTCACTGTGGATCAGTGGATCTCAGCCTTTACGGTATATCAGAACCACCTGGGGGATTTTAACAGCACTACAGCTGCCCAGGCTCCATTCCTGCAGATTCTATTTCTGGTCTGGAGTAAGCACGCATGCTTTTTTCACAGCCCCCCAGACGCAGCTAGGTTTGCAAACCACTGTCCAAGACGCTTTCACACTTCTGTTCAGTTCAACACACACTCATTGAGATTCTAAGCACTAGGAATCGGGCTAAGTTAACAAGTCAGGCTCCACTCCCTAATAATGCTGGCAAAGAAACCAATATCAGAGATTTATTCCAGTCCAAAACAAATAAATTGCCGGGTGAAAAAAATGCCCTGGCATAGTTTGCCATACAAAACAACTTCCTGTATCTTCCCGGTCAGTAGCCTAGAGACTGACTCTGAGCCACGAGAATTCAGAATCAGGGGAAAATGCCAGTTTGAGGCATCTGCCACACTCCTAGCACACCCCCAAAAGCGCCCAGCTACACTTCACACCCACTGTCCTAACAGGGGACGAAATAGGGAAAAGCAGTGCAATACAGAAAACAGAGCCTGCTGGACATCAAAAGGCTGGGGAATTCCAGTCCTAGCCCTGCTACCAATCGGTCTGGTCACTTCTCTCTGGTCTTGGTGTGGCCAACAGTTACACGAGAGGGGGAGGCATAAAAACACAGATGTTAGGCAAGCTCCAGCATCCAAAATATATAGAAATTAAAAAGCATTAGGGTGATATCAAAGAATGTATACCATCAACCAGAAAATAACTGAAGTAGTCCTTTTCCCACTCTTAAGAAATCAAAAGTGAGGCCGGGCGCGGTGGCTCAAGCCTGTAATCCCAGCACTTTGGGAGGCTGAAACGGGCGGATCACGAGGTCAGGAGATCAAGACCATCCTGGCTAACACGGTGAAACCCCGTCTCTACTAACAATACAAAAAACTAGCCGGGTAAGGTGGCGGGCGCCTGTAGTCCCAGCTACTTGGGAGGCTGAGGCAGAAGAATGGCGTAAACTCCAGAGGCGGAGCTTGCAGTGAGCTGAGATCTGGCCACTGCACTCCAGCCTGGGCGACAGAGCAAGACTCAAAAAAAAAAAAAAGAAATCAAAAGTGGAAGCAGAAAATTGAGCAATCAGCCTACCAAGTTGACTGGGGCAACAGAATATACTCACGGATTCTGTTCACAACAGCAGGGCTGACAGACCAACAGGAGAACTGCAGAGCGTCCCTCTCTCCTCTGTCCACCCATGCCACAAGCACGTGAATGCATCCACACGCAGCGCCCAGTCTCCTGTCCCACTGACGCCAGCGTCCACTCACCACAAGCCTACTAAGTGCCACATGTGCTATGATGCTCCCTCATCTCATCACCATAGACATCCCAGCTGGAGGTGAGTACGTGACAGACGAAAATCACGGAGGCCTAGGGAGGTTGAGACCCGCATTCCCACTGCAGTGAGGGCGTGCTTGAGAGGGGACTCCACGGCTGGGCCCTCCATGCCGCTCTCCTCAGTGATCACTCCCGGACCAGAGCAGAGAGGGTGGATTTTCTTCCTCTCACTATTTTCAGCCCCTTGGCTGACCCAGCATTCCCCAGAAAGCTATGGAGTCCTGCCAGCTCTGAGGCCACAAAGCCATAAACGCACGGGACACACAGCCCATCTGTCTCTAAAGGGTCTTTTACTTGTCATGCTGGTCATTTCCAAGAGCAGATGGGTTAAGAAGGACTTGGCAAGTTATCACGAAATGACCCCTCCACTCCTCCTCCCTGGGGGAAGGCTGACTAGCGAGCAGTCAGGCCGGCTTTCTTCCCCCACTCCCTGCATTCCTGTCCCTAAGGAGCCACAGACAATCCCACCAAATATAGGCAGGAGACAGCCGCCTCCTTCCTACAGCTGGAGGGGGGAAGGGTCCTCTCAGGCCTTTCAAACTGCATGAGAACCAAACTGTGAGCTGTACTGACCCGGGCCTCGCCAATGTTGCAGGCATGTACAACACAGGTGCCCAGTGGTATCATCAGGCAGAGCTACGAATGTGCTTTCCATTGTTTTCATACAATGATTCCAGAACCGCTATTCACACAGCTCCACTTCTCACACATACGACGTGCTTCACGGATTACACAGCATGTTCACCATGCCCCTCATCCGCTCCTCCCAGCAGCCTTGTGTGATCCCTTGAGTATGCTTCCTCATCTCCGCTTCTTAAGAAATGGAGTTTCTGAGGTATGAAACAAACTTTCCCAAGAACATCCAGCTAGAATTAGAACCAGGATATGAGGGCTTCAGATTCTAGAACCAGTATTTGTGCCACTATTCCACATGGGCCCCTCCAGGGATTTCTGCCTAATCTTAAAATGCAGACAGCAAATCCGTCTCTCTAGAGTCCTGGGGTTCCCTATAGACAAGAGTCAAACTTCTAACAGAAGCTTGTACTTATTTGGAAGCCTACTTGGGATATTTCTTTTAAGTTAGTTTGTTCATGTTTTGGAAAGATTGTTCCAATGGCAATGCGGGGCATGAAGTGTAGAAAGGATTCCATGATGAGGCAGAGAAACAATTCGGTGGCTCTTACAACAGTTCAAATAAGGCATGAGGCACAACCAGAAAGGACAGAGGGAAAATGCATTGGAAAGAAATGCAAAATGAAGTCCACTCAGACCCAGGATGGAAAAAAGGGGATTAAGCATGATGGTGGTTTCTAGTTTGAAAGACTGATGAACAAGGATGTCATTAACTACTGCAGAGTGGTATCTGGGGCCTGGGTGCACCAGTTTGACCTGCTGAGCAGTCTCCGGGCTGTTTCCAGTTTCTAGCCTTTATAAATAATGCTGCTATGAACAGATACATAGAGGCTTTTGTGTGAACATAAGTCTTCATTTCTCTGGGATAACCGCCCATGAATGTGAGTGCTGCATCCTACGGCAATTGCACATTTATTTTTTAAGAAACTGTCAAACTGTTTTTCAGAATGGCTGTACCATCTTCCATTCCCACCAGCCAACTGTGAGTGATCCCGTTTCCCCGCATCCTCACCAGCATGGTCTTGTTACTACTTTTTATTTTAGCCATTCTGACACGTGTATAGTGACGTGGCTTTAGTGTGCATTTTTCTGATGGCTGATGGCGTTGAACATCTTTTCATGTGCTTATATGTTATCTGAAATGTCTCTTCTGGTCTTTTATTCATTTTCAAAGTAGATGGTTTGGTTTCACTGCTGAATTTTGATAGTTCTTTATAAATTATAGATATGAGTCCTTTAGCAGACATGTGGTTTGCAAATAGTTTCTCCCAGTCTCTAGCTCCTCTTTTCATCTTTATTTTGCATTTTACATTTTGGTCCATGATCCATTTTGAGTTAATTTTTGTACGAGGTATGAGGTTTAGATCAGAGTTCAGGTTTTTTTCCTATGAATAATCAGGTAGCCAGTAATTTTTTTTAAGAGACAAGGTCTCACTCTGTCACCCAGGCTGGAATGCAATGACAAGATCAGAGCTCACTGCAGCCTCGACTCCTGGGCTCAAGTTATCCTCCTGCCTTAGCCTCCTGGAGTAGCTGGGACCACAGGCAGGTGCCACCATGCCCAGTTAATTTTTTTAGTTTTTGTAGAGACAGGGTCTTGTGTCATGTTACCCAGGCTGGTCTGGAACTCCTAGGCTCAAGTCATTATCCCACTTATATGGGGCCAGGCAGTGGCACATGCCTGTAATCACAGCACTTTGGGAGGATGAAGCAGGAGACTCACTTGAACCCAGGAATTCCAGAGCAGCCTGAGCAACAGAGGGAGGCCCTGTCTCTGCAAAAATTTTAAACATTAGTTGGGCATGGTGTTGTACACCTGTGGTCCCAGATACTTGGGAGGCTGAGGTGGGAGGATCTCTTGAGCCTATGAGGCTGAGGCTGCAGTGAGCCATGATCACACCACTAGACTCCAGCCTGGGAGACAGTGAGACCCTGTCTCCAAAAAAAAAAAAAAAAAGCTAGAGCATCACTCATATTAAAGACAGATATTATCTTTTGAAAATTTAATTACAGTTATATAATGGACATGTAAAATGTCCAGTTTGAAAGTTTGAAAATATATAACTCTAAGTATTCTTACCTTAAAATTCTGATTCCTATCTACGATATCACATACTGCTTATGTAAGTATCACAATGCCTGGACAACAACTAAAAATGTGTAAGAAGAAGAAAAATGAGCATGTATGCCTATTAATTAAGGCACATTTCCCCCTTATTACATAAAAAAGTCATCACTGTAAACCCCTGTGACTGTATCCAAAGCAAGCCTACAGTTTTACTTCTCTGTATTATAAAATGCAGGGCTAAAATTCAAATACTCTACATTTCCTGAAGCCAAGGGTAGTTTACTTAAAATAAATGCCTAGGGTCTATATAAAAAATATGAAAAAGCTAGCTACTTCATAGCCATTCCAATCTAAGTTCAGCTTTTCCTTTTTTAATTGACATGTAATTGTGTACTCTACATATGTATGGAGTACACATAGTGATGTTATAATACATGTAATGTATGTGATCAGTGTAATTAGCATATCCACCATCTCAAACATTTATCATTTCTTTGTGTTGGTAACATTCAATGCCCTTCCTCCAATTATCTGGAACTATATACATATATATATTTTTTGAGACAAAGTCTTGCTCTGTTACCCAGGCTGGAGTGCAGTGGTGCAATCTCGGCTCACTGCAACATCTGCTTCCCAGGTTCAAGCTATACTCCTGCCTCGGCCTCCCTGGTAGCTGGGGTTACAGGTACCCACCACCATGCCCGGCTAATTTTTGTATTTTTAGTAGAGACGGGGTTTCACCACATTGGCCAGGCTGGTGTCAAACTCCTGACCTCAGGTGATCCATCCACCTCAGCCTCCCAAAGTGCTAGGATTAGAGGCATGAGCCACAGCGCCCAGCCTGAAACTATATATTCTTGTTAACTATAGACATCCTATGTTATAGAACACTAGAACTTATTCCTATCCAGCTATAATTTTGTATCCTTTAACAAATTTCTCCCTATCTCCCTCTTCCCCCACCCTTCTCACCCTCTAGGATCCTCTGTTCTGCTTTCAACTTCCATGAGATCCATTCTTTTTTGCCTTTCCCATAAGAGAACATGTGGTGTGTAACTTTCTGTCCCTGGCTTATTTCACATAATATCTTCCAGTTTCATCCACGTTGCTGAGAATAACAGGACTTCATCCTGTGTTATGGCTGAATAGTACTCCACTGTGTATAAAAACCACATTTTCTGTATCCATCATCTGCTGTTGGACACCGAGGCTGATTCCATATCTTGGCTGTGGTGAACAGTGCTGCAGGAAACACAGAGGTGCGGATGCCCCTCCGACACTGGTTTCCTTTTCTTTGGGTATCTACACTGTAGTGGGACTGCTGGATCACACTGTAATTTCATTTACAGTTTTCTGAGGAACCTCCATACTGTTTGCCATAGTGGGTGCCCTAGCTTACGCTTACTCTTTTTCTCTTTTCTCTTTGAGAGTCTCACTGATGCCCAGGCTGGAGTACAGTGGTGCAATCTCGGCTTGCTCACTGTAGCATCCACCTCCCGGGTTCCAGTGGTTCTCATGACTCAGCCTCCCAAGTAGCGGGGATTACGGGCGCCCGCCACTGCACCCAGCAAATTTTTGTATTTTGTAGTAGAGATGGGGTTTCACCATGTTGGCCAGGCTGGTCTTGAATTCCTAGCCTCAAGTGATCCGCCCACCTCAGCCGCCCAACAGTGCTGGGATTACAGGTGTGATCCACCGTGCCCAGATAATTTTTGTGTTTTTAGTAGAGACGGGGTTTCACCATGTTGGCCAGG